CTCTGTGTGTGTGTGTGTGTGTGTGTGTGTGTGTATGAATACTAAAATAAATTACTACTTGCACTACTTGTACTACTCCAACATTTTTCAGTCAGGTCATCTGGATAGTTTATTTTTTTTTTGTGCTGAAACGTTTCACCTTCGGTCCGGAAGGCTTCATCAGTCAAAGAGACACACAACAAAACTGATTCTTCCCCCAACAGCTTACTCCAAAGTGGAACAAACCAGTTCTGCTTGTGATGAGATGGTCTCTTTGGTACGCCCCCTCCTCCATTGCCGGCTCTCTTCCTTTGTGACAGTCTTGTCAAACTGGTTGAAAACAACAAAGTCCATGCTCAATAATCCAGGTATACAATCCAACATTTTTCAGTCAGGTCATCTGGACAGTCTCTTTTTTTTATTTTCAGCACACAAAAAAAAAGGTATACTTGACTTTCTATTGGTCTAGAAAGGTCTCTATTAAAAAAAAAAGGAAAAAAGAAACTGTCCATATAACCCGACTGAGAATTATTGGATTTGGTACCTGGATGGATGATTAAGCATGAACTTTGACACATCTATTTATTACTTTGTTTCATTGCAATTCAACCAGGTGTTTAAATGATATTTTGCTAACAGACAGACATACACACAAGGGAAAACAATATTGTCCTCCCTCACCTTTCAGTGGCGGGTGATAATAACTCAACAACAGATGTTCTTACTGAAGAAGCTACCTGTTCAGACGTGAGGCCTGTCATTGCTGCTAAAATGAAAATGTGTTTAAATGATGACTGTGGCGGCACAGACAGGAAGTGTGGTGCGCACCATCAGAACGTGTCAACATACTCTTAAATCTTCAGCGCCGCTGAGGTGATGGATCATGAATCAGTTTTTTCCTTCCGGTGAGCGAATGCTGGTGCGTCCTGGCTGCCGCTGCTCGTCGTGCTTTTTTTTGCTTTTTTCTGTTTTATTCAGTCCTTCCTGCCTTTTCCCTACACCAAGTCTCTGATCCGTCTCAATATCAGCCATGCGGTTCATTAGGATTTACCTGCTGCCTGCTCTGCTTTGGACTCTCCTGCTGCTCATCCACCACCACCCAGCATCCGGTCTTCTCCATTACTCAGCGGTCAAGCTCCTTCGCCTTCGTTTCCTACCAGCCATGCCACCTGTGCTCCCTCTTCAGGACATTGCCTTCCATCCTCGCCGGAGATACATTCACCGTGGCTCCCGCCGTAGACTCCACGCTGACAAGTCTAACCCCATAAACTCCATCTGGTCTGACTCTCACCATTCTACACGCCGCAATACTCGGGCCGCTAACAGTAATAGCATGTTAGCTAGCCTAGCTCAGTCGGCTAATGCTCCGGTCGCTACCAACTCCTCCTCCGTAAAGTTTGGCCTTCTGAACGTTCGCTCACTTACTGGCAAAGGTCAGCTTATTCAAGACCTCATATCCGACCGTAAGCTAGATTTTGTCTAACAGAAACGTGGCAACAACAAAATGACTTTTTCCACCTGAATGAATCTACCCCACCGGGGTTTGTTTACATCGCCAAATCCCGCGAGTCCAGCCGCGGAGGAGGTCTCGCGATAATTCACCGCGAGAACTCGAAGGTCATGCCAGTTCACACACCTCCCTCTCCCTCCTTTGAGAACACTGTGTGTCTACTCTCCGGCCCGACCCCCACCATTGTTGCCACTTTCTACCGTCCGCCCAAAATCAACAACTCTTTTATAAATGACTTTGCTGCTCTAATCGCCCATCTCTCAGCTCTTTCACCCAACATTATTCTGCTTGGAGACTTCAACATTCATATGGATGAAGACAACAACCCTCTCACCAGAGACTTCACATCCTGCCTTGACAGCTGTGGCTTCCAGCAGCTCATTAACTTTCCAACCCACATAAAGGGCCACACTTTGGACTTATTATGCTGCTCTGGACTCTCTCCTCTTAACTTTTCTTCTGATGAACTTCCATTTACTGATCACCTCATGATTTCATTCAGTGTCAATCTTAAATTTTCTTCAGAGAAACCTCAACGCATTCTTTCCTTCCGTAATATTAAGAATATCAACCATGACATTCTTTTGTCTCATATTAATAATACCATCTTCACCTTCAATTCTTTTAACCCAGATGACCTTGTCACATTCTACAATAACA